AACACAGACATACAAACTCACATAGCACTACCTAAACTACTACCTGTTCTGAATGTGATTTTTTTTCATTCATTATGTAGTTAACCGAACTTTGAGTTAAGGGCGACATAGATTTTTTATTTTGTTTAACGTTTGATGTTTCCCTTAGCTCAAAGTTCAGTTACAGTTAATTAAAATTTGAGTTACTAAATTTGAATGTTAAATAAAATGATAAATCTATGTTTCCTGTAACTTGAAGTTTGGTTAATTTTTAATTAAAGTTTGAGTTACTAAATGTGGACATTCAACAAAAAAAATATGTATACTCCCTGCAACTCAAAGTTCTGTTAACGTGAACATGGCTTCTCAAAAGTAGGCATGGTTTCTCAAATATGGGCGAGGCCATTTTTGTAACTTGATGTTTTCATAACTCAATGTTTGTTACTCAATGTCCGTAACTCAAACAATTCAATAAATCTATGTCTGCACTGCAGAAAAGTGTGTAGGTTAAGCAGCTCTGTGATTGGTCAATGACCCACATCCAGTTCTCTATTAGAGTTCAACAATAACAGCAATTTTATTTATTATAGCTTAATTTAACTCAATTAAATTGCAAATATACATAAATTATGTTTTCTGAGGATGGAAACAAATAAAAATCAACCTTGGACGTTGTGTATTCCTGGTACAGGTAATCTAAGTTTAAACACACACACACACACACACACACACACACACAAAGGTACTAGTAACCACAATAACTTCCATTGTGTGCTTTGCACACAGGAGTTGAATATGGTAGACACGTACAATTAATTTATACAACTATATTCTCTGAAAGCTCCCCTAACTAACAGATTTGATTATTCATTCCAATTTTACCACATTATAATAATACAATTCATGATGTATTTTTTATTGTACATGCATCAGTCAGTGACTTTGTTATACATGTACATCTCCAATAAAAGTGCATATAAAAAAATAATTACATTTATGTTATACCGGATCATTTAAATATTATTTTTGATGACCTTTGTCATTTATGTAAGTGCATGCGTTAATAATAGAGCAAATACATTACTGAAAATCTCACTAAAACAAACATTCTGGCTTTTATGCACATCTTTGCACTATTCAGTACTAAAAAAAACAATACAGTTACAATTTAGCAACCAACTGTCCAGTTTTATAGTTGCGTTCAACTTGATTCCAGAGAAACAGCGTACCATTCATACAAACATACACACCATAGACAGATAAGCACTGCAATGCCCCTAAAGCCACACCAATATTAAACTCAGCATCAGAACCCTTGAAAGTTTCAGGTAAGAAAGCACCCGTGAAAATGATTGTCTTTTTTAACTTTTTCTGTGCAAGATACGATGCAGTCTGTATCATAGTATCAGTCCCATGTGTGATCAGAATTTTCTTCTGCCTTCCAACTTCACAAGTCATACTTATAAGTTCTCTATAAGAAAAAAATAGAAATAACAAACGTTTTGCAAATTTGTTTTTCTCAGACTTGTATGTATATAGACATACATGTGATGTACCGATAATAATTTTATAACAACACATGAAGACACAAAGCTAGGGCTTTGCTTATAAACATATTTATATAAATTTGTAAAATTATCAGCCTTCATTCAAATTCAAATATTCAACAGTGATTGGCTAAACATTGTTTACACCCATAATGCAAAGCACATGCCTTCAAGTGACATAGCAACTGCGACCATGCTTGCTGATTGGATAATATTGAATCTCATTTTTATAATAACTAGAACTAACATTGATACCATTGCCAAATTGGAATTCTATGGGTAACATCCATTCTGATTTATACAAAGGCATATTTATAAAATGTTTATAACGATCACAGCTTTATGTCCTTTACTGTAGATGATTATTTGAAATCATGTTACAGAAGTTGGATAATAACACCAGCATTAGAGGATGACCATTTTCTTCACCTTTGAGATACATGTATATATTTTTTCTTTCTCATGATGATGTTGCTGTAAAAAAATCATTCTTTTGCTTGCCTCCTTTAAGTGTGTGAGATTATTTTTGGAAATAAATTTTGTGTATAACCATAATTTTTTTCAAAATTTTCCCTGTCCATTTTTCTTATTCTACCCCAGATTTCCCAATGGCCGACCCCTTATTGGTAGAAAGTGGTGCTGTTCCGATGGTCAACTACACTTATCATAGAAAAGATTCATTTCATCTGTCATCGTCTGTAATATCGTGACTGTCTTTTCTCAGTACCGTTATACATTCCACTGACAAGGCTATTGGTGCGCGCAGCTGAAGTGCCGATCTCAAATGCGTACCCTCCGACCACAGGCGCCTGTGCCTCCGACAAGATTTTTTTCAACATGGAATTTAAAAGAATATATCAAATGTGAAATTAATAATTCATACCTCCTGTCTGGATTACGAGAATACTGGATGATCCGCTCATATCTGTCCACTGCGTCGAACCATTTTTAATATTTACATGTAATGAGTTTGTTTGCAGCCTTTGAAAAACCGTTCCGGAATCCATTCATTATCCAAGTCGTCTGCCAAATATACCCCCACAATGCAACGCCGCAGGTCACTTCCGCGTCCCGTTGCTTTGTGCAGGACTCGTGCCAACAAAGGTGAATTTCGCGTGGTGAGTTTACTATGATAATTTCTAAATTTACTATGTTTATTTGGCATATTTAAGCAATGATTGCAACTATTAAGGCAAATTGTTCGCAATATGCCTCTGTACTTAGAAGCACCCAAACTTTCATTTGACCTCTGTGTGTTTATTTACATTTCGGGATTTAAAAATGGCGTCCT